AGTGAGCTCAATCAAGAATACCATAGATAAGAAATGAATTCATGCATTTCTACCTACACATATTAGTTGCTTTTCTCATTATGAATGAATATGTATTTTAAGGTCTCACGTATATCAGTGTCCATTTATCTTCTTTGATGTTTCGTTGTTATGGAAACAGCATTAGGAAAGAACTACAGTGTCAACTAGTGGTGACATCTGTGTCTCCAGAGCAATTGTTTCAAATAACTGACTTTCTAGTTTTCATACTTTTTAATGGAACTTTTAAAACTTCTCCAGTCCTACCTGCTGAATTTCCCTACCTTCTGTCCTACTCCTTTGTGAAATGCTTACTATCTAAGATATAACTGCACAGGAATCATTTTTCCCCTGCAGTGCTGCATGGATGTTGCTGCATGTAGAAGAAACAAAAGAAAACCAGTGCACGGGTACAAAGAAGAGTAATTTTTATTTTTTTTTAAAGAAAGAGTAATTCCATGTCTCCCTCTTGCATGCCTATACTGGGATACAACTAGTCAAGGATTTTATTTCCCAAACTGGCCAATAATATATTTTGGAATTCTCACAGTGCAGTATGAATTTTTTTTTTCAGCTAGTATTTGGTGCTCAGAATGTACTAAAAAATTTTAAAATATGGACTGCCAGATTAGAATGAATTCAGCATCCTATATGCTCCAGAGGCTATCAAAGCAATTGCTTTCTTGTGTATTTTACTTCTTGACACATTCAGTAATACCTAGTCTAAGGAAGAGAGAGTGAGTAATAATTGTTGATAGATCTATTCTTTATGAATTTGTAAAGCCATCTAAGCCAGTGGTTATAATTGCACCTTGTGATAACAATTTCAGTAAATTGAGTGGTGAATTAATTTCCTTTTTCTGTCTTGAAGGTTCTGCCAATCAGATTTCATTAGTATTGGCTTTATGAAAGAGGAAGATCAAAATCTCTTTACCCACATAAGTGTCTACTTTGTCCTCTCTAATGTATGCTTACACTGAACTATCTTGCAGAATATATAATAGCTATAAAGATTGTAGAATGGAAGAGGCCTGTAGATAGAAAAACAATTTCTGGAAGAAGTAGTTGAGGGTCAACAAGCAAAGCAGTGATGCTTAATTGCTTATGAAATCTAGCTTTGAAAGTCCATTAGAAAAATGCTGAAAAACAATTAAATAGATAACCCTGATATGTTTGCCACGTCTCATTAAAAATGTTTACTTGGATCTTCCATAACCATCACATTTTATAAACAGCAGTTATATCTCAGACTGGAAGAAATGTTTGAATATAATGGTAAATCATATTTGTTGAGGATTTGGGGTTTATTATTCATGAGCAGACAGAATGCTGTGTGATCTACTGCTTAATTCTTTTATCAGCAGAAGTAGCTAAACTAACCAGACATCCAACAAACTAACTAGAATCCAAAGACAGAAGAGGTTTTCTGTTTTGGGGTTGTTATGAGTGGGATAAACCAGGCTTTTTAAATTTCTAGTTAGTTTAGCTACTTCTACTGGGTAATAGTGAAATGGATGGCACTTCTCAGGAGTGGTGTCAGGATGCTCAACAGTTCTGGTTTATTTTTATGTCCATAATAGACCCCACATAAGTCCTATACCAAGATCTAAATCTGTAAATGGAATGAAGGGATATTATTATATCTGAAATTCAAGGGGTAAATAAAGTCAGCTTCAAGCAATGGAGCATGCAAGTCATGCCAGGGTGATTTTATACCAGAGTGAGGCTATGATAAACTTGGAGCTTTAAGGTTTAAAAAAACACAAGAAGAACTTATGTAGGACATGAAAGGACATTTACACAGTTAGATGATTACATAGGTTTTTATCTTAAAAGACAAGATTAACAGCTAGAGCAAAAGACATTTGCTATTTGCTTTAGTCAACTTCAAGAATCAAGGAATCTCCTGCTTTGTATCTAGGGAAAGGTCTAGAACTTGGCAGGGGACAATGCAGAGCTGAAGAGCCGTCTTGGGAGTTCATAAATTGTGGAGCCTGGATTAGGAAGAGATCAATTGCTTTAGTAGGGCAGGCTATTGAAAGATAATAAAAGTAAAAATAGGTTCCTCTTGCCATACGTCTTTTTTTTAAAGACATTTTATAGTTAATAACTGCTATGTTTATTAATACTAGAGTTGATTTTATAACAGTAGAAACTATTGGCTTATTGCTCTTCAGAAACAGTAGTTCAAGGAACTATCTGTAGATGGGTCTTAAGTCCATGAGCAGATGTCTTTCATTAGATCCACCAGAGAGCTGCTGCTTGTCATCATCCTCAGTGAGGGCTTCATGGCTATGCCTTCACCAGGTCAGAGGCTTCTGGGCTGTCTTCCTTTGCAATACATTATATAAGGTTTTGACAAGGCTAAGAAAGTGAACGGGCAGCTTTCCCACCCCTTTTCTTATGAAGTATAAAGTAAAGCAATATTGTTCAGCAGCACAAGTTGCCGTTCCTGTATTTTTTTATTTTTATTTTGTTGGCCACAGAACCTCTTTTCTTTACCAGAGAGATATTAACACGTTGGACAGAATTCAGAGGAAAGCCACAAAAATGACAAAGGGCTGGAGAGAGTAACTTCACAGAGGCCTCTGTGCCAAGCCAAAACTGTATAGTTTCAGGATGATGAAGAGAAAGGGGCACAGGAACTGGCTGTATGTTTCAAATGGATTTGAATAGGAATCAGAGAAGGGGGCCTTGTTAGGGAAGTTGCAAAGTGGAATTTGTTTCCTTGTGGGAATATGAGAGCCTCGAGAAGCCCGAGGCTGAAGCAGGGCAAGCAAACATCCTTTTGGATTATATGGAGCATTGGGGCACAACATAGCTGGCTGTGCTCCTGGCTAAGTGATCCTGCATCTGTACAATTCAAAGGCTGACGTCTCTCCCCCAAAGATAATACTTTGATCCAAGTCAGAAAGCTGATGCTCAGGTGTGCGTAGTTCTGATTTCTAAATTATACTTCTAAAGTATCACTTTAATTTATTCTGATTTGGTAAGCAGGATTATTACCCTTGATTATGCCAACATTTTCTGCAAATATTGCAGTGTTTAAGGTGTGGTTCTTGTGTCTCTGAGTCACTGTAGATTCTTTGCTTAAAATAAAATCAATCCACGTTTTCCAAAAAATATCAAGGTGCAAATTCAAAGGAAATCATGCAGATCAGAACTACAAATTGCACAGATGTTGTTTGTAAGTAAGATGCTCTGTAGTGCAGTATGAAGTTACTGCTTTTTAAAATAACCATGTGTTAAAATGTACTGTTATAAAATAGCATTCAAGTTAACATTGTTGGTCTGCTAATTTGCAAAGTGCCTATGAGTGATTAGCATTGTTGTAGTACATTGTTTTATATTTTGCATTTGGCTTCTGAGTGGCATACTAGGGTTTTCAGTCCTAAAAATAGCTGGACCCAATATACAAATTAAATTTTATTTACTTGTAACGTTGCCATGTACTTGATATCCCTTTGCTGTTACATTAAACATTACATTACAGCAGCCACTTTTGCATGAGCTCCGGAGACTTGCACAGCCTTTAGGCTTCAGTTTGTACATTCCCTCTTCTTTTATGCCAGCCTGAAATGTAGTGCTAAAACCAACTTTTCCCCACATCCTATTATAATTAGGACAACTTAATTTTGTGTATTAATTTTGCTACTGAGAGCACAAAAGTCTTGTATGACCTTCCAATAAGTTCTTGGGGGGATATGTTTCCATACTATTCAGAGAAAGCAGCCAGTCCATTTTTCACCCAAGTTTCGGGGCGGGGGGGTTGGTTTGTTTTTTTTTTAACACATAACTGATCATGGAGCCCTGAACTCAGTGTGATGTTAGGACAATGGCCTTATTGGCTGACACAGAGTCTGACTGAGTCTTGGAATGCTCAGTTTTGTGTACTTAGCTCTTCCAGTGCTCCCTGCCTGGTCAGTCTCTGCCAGCACAAATCTGGGCTTCCATTATGTTGCTGTTTAGATGCCTTCATATACTAAAGATCCTTTCTTCCCCTCTCTGTGGTATGTTTTCAGATGAATCATAAGGAAGTAGACAATTGCAGTGTCTTGCTCATCTTCCATTACTATTTTTTCTTTCTTTTCTCATTTTGCTTTCTAATTTCCCTTGTTTCTATCTTTATCTTTTGCAGAATGCTGAATCATCAGCATGCAACATTCTTTAGCACAGCTACTTCTCCCTCCTTTCCTTTAGCTTCTTGGTTAAGACTTTAGTCACTTACCTTGCATGTAGATTTTTATTTTATTTTACCAGTAAAATGCATTTTCAGGAAAAGTTTTGACCTCATCCCTGTCACTCCCATGTATTTTACAATAGCATTCTATTGCTTATATCAAAATTTCTAAAATCATGTGCTGTGCTCCTATAGCATTTGATAAACATGCTGATTTCTGAGCTTGCTCTGTTTTCCAGCAAAACATAGTCAGGGCTGCAATGCAAAGGCATGTTCCAAATTCTCCACTTGCTGTTTATTGGAGGAGCTTATTCTCACAATGTGGAAAAATAAACCTTTCACATGAAGGGTCGGAATAAAAAAAATAAATATATAGACAGTTCTGTTGGTTATGGTGCGGCAGTACAGTGGTGTCTTCCAGAAGTAAACGCAGCCATGTTCAGAACATGTCCTTGGAGGCTATGAAATGTATTAACAGAGTTGAGAAAAGCAGGAGAGAAAGCACAGGAAAGAACTAGCTATGGGAGGGGCTTGAGATGCAGTTTTGAGCTAAAATTCTTTTGTATTCCTGCCTGAAGTAACCCGTCTAGATAGGAGAGGGAAGGAGAAGGTGGACGTCACAGTGGAATTTGTACTCTTTGCTTGACAGAAGTATTCAGACTGGGTTGCATTCTTTGAGATGCTAGACCTGAATTCCAAAAGCCATCACAAAATACTGTTGATGGCTTAATTTTGGGAGTTGTTGTTTTGATACAGGGGTGCAGTAAAGTAACCACTTCCTCTTTTGTTCCTAAATCCCCAGAACGTTTCTGAATATCCACTGCCTTGAAACTGGCTTCTGGGAGGAAGGGAGCTGTGTTCCTGTGGTTTGTAAACCACCCCCACCAGTCTTTGAAGGGATGTATAACTGCACCAATGGCTTTGAGCTTGATAGTCAGTGTGTGCTCAGCTGTGGTCCAAAGAGTAAGACGGTAAGTTTATGGTCAGGTTGCAAATAGTCCAGATGTGATGGAAAACCTGAGTGAGGAGGTCCAAGGTCATAGGGAGAGGGAGAAGAATCTCAAGCATCTCCTCAGCCTGCAGCCTGAGCATGTGAAAACTAAGAGGATGAGACTGGCACCACCCTAAGGAATTCAGAGTGTTTAGTT